GGTATTTGTTGTAGAATTTTCATGAAATGAAGCAAAGATCGATGTCGGATGATCATTATTGAAACCATAGCTGAATGAAGTATCGAAATGGTGTAGGAATGACTGTAGTGAATGACAGATAGCCTGAAGTAAATTGAAGGTTTCAAATTAAACAGATTCATGCAAAAGAATAATTCATGATACAAAGGAATAATAATTCATGACAGATAGTCATTGATAATTTAATTAACGGGACAAGGATCGGATTAAACGTGTTGATCTACGTATTATTACTTAACTGTCGATATGCCACATTACGCATTTTTTGTTAGGTTGTGAACACTGAACTGATAATTTTTAAAGAGGGCGAGCAGGGCATTATTTATTTGCTGAACGTCGTGAATAAACGCAAACGTTAGTAGTAATGTCTGGACCATCTGGATCCGGTGAAGATGCGGCGGATCATAACGTTGAAGTGTGGAAAATCAAACGGTTGATAAAAAGTTTGGAAATGGCTCGCGGGTTAGTGATCGATTCAATTTCTGATGCGTAGAGCAAATTTATTTAAAAATAAAAACTGTACGAAATAAAATAATGGACATATTCAGGAATGGTACATCGATGATTTCATTGATAATACCGCCACGAGATCAAATTGCGCGTATCTCAAAAATGTTAGCCGACGAATATGGTACTGCGTCAAATATCAAATCTCGAGTAAACCGGTTATCCGTATTAGGTGCTATAACATCGGTACAAGGAAGGCTAAAACTTTATAACAAAGGTTAGTGCATCTACTAGAATATAGATAAGATAATCCGATATGCATTATGTTGACCTATGCTATCGGACAGTCAAAATTTCAACAATAACACTTACAAAACACGAGTATCAATGATTGTTTTTTTTTTAGTACCAACAAATGGTTTGGTGATTTATTGTGGTACCATTGTAACGGATGAAGGGAAGGAGAAGAAAGTGAACATTGATTTCGAACCATTCAAACCAATAAATACTTCACTTTATCTTTGTGATAACAAATTCCATACAGAAGCATTGCAGGGTATTTGTGAATTTTATTTGATTAATTTATTTGAACGCAGAACGTGACGAACAAAATTAAATTCGCTGCTACCACGTACGTTTAGTGATATGCAAGCAAATATCGTGAAATTATGCCATGCTATCATTTATGTCTTTTAGCCCTGTTGGCTGATGACAATAAATTTGGATTCATTATAATGGATGGTAATGGGTCATTGTTTGGAACATTGCAAGGTAATACGCGTGAAGTGCTACACAAATTTACCGTTGATTTACCAAAAAAGCATGGTAATTTTTGTTTCCATTTCTGCTTTTTTTGTGGGAATTAATTATAGTTTTTTTTTATCAGAGTTAGCATGATGTATGATAAATTTGATCACTGCATCTTCGCAGGTCGTGGTGGACAATCTGCGCTGCGTTTCGCACGACTTCGTATGGAGAAACGTCACAATTATGTAAGGAAGGTTGCGGAAACAGCTGTTGAAATATTTATTCGAAACGATAAAGTAAATGTAGCAGGGCTAATTTTGGCTGGTAGCGCAGATTTCAAAACGGAGCTTGGCCAATCCGATATGTTTGATCAGGTGAGGAATACGGTCGATTTCTGGCGATTTATTCTTGCTGACGATTAATCCTAATTTTTTGATTATTTGCAGCGACTTCAAGCTAAAATTATCAAAACGGTAGATATTTCATACGGTGGTGAGAATGGATTTAATCAGGCAATTGAATTAGCCGAAGATGCGCTAGCGAATGTGAAATTCATCCAAGAAAAGAAATTAATTAACGGATATTTTGATGAGATTTCGCAGGTATTTCAAGTTCGCAAATTGTTGCTTTTTAAATTATCACTTTTATCAATTGCTAACGTTACGCGTAAATTCCTTGGTAATGTTGCATTGTACGATTTATTTGCAAGGTAAATTTCAGAATTGAACTTTTATTTTCTCTCTCTCTTTCTCTCGCGATGAAAAGCTTTTGCTAAAGCAAATAACAGAGCTAATATAGCAGTTTTCTCTACATATTTTTGGAAGTTAGTAATTGGGCTGTGCATCATAGTTGCACATCTTAAAGTCAAACTTCCGAAATTAAAGTGCATGTCGTCTGCGGGTTTTACATTAGTTACAGTTAAAGCCTGTTCGTTATTGCACTACAACTAATCCGTTTTACTCCATGTGAAATCAGCAAATATGTTTATATGTTAAAGGATTCCGGAAAGTATGTTTATGGTGTGACGGATACGCTGCAAGCATTGGAAATGGGTGCTGTGGAAACATTGATCTGTTGGGAGAATTTAGATATTGTACGTTATCAGCTTAAAAATCCGGTTACTGGAGGTATTCGTTTTTAATCGTTCTGGTGGAAAAGTTATCACTCGATTGATTTTATTCTGCTGATTTTTTCCCTTTTTTTAGAGGAAAAGTTGTTATATTTGGACCCGGATCAGGAAAAGAATAAGACACATTTCACTGAATCGTCCGTATGTTTTTTCAGTTTTCGGTTTTTAAAAAATTAATAATTGTCAGTTAATTTACATAATTTTTCGATAGAGAAAGTAGCAGTAAAAGATAAAAAAATATCAAACATTACAAAGTATCAAATCTGGAAAGACGAGACTGGAAGAGAATTTCTGTCTAAAATTCATAATTTCTTTACCCATCATAATGGTGACAGATAAAATTGATATGATATTTAGACTGGCGTTGAATTAGAACTTATGGATTCCATGCCGTTATTAGAATGGTTAGCGAACAATTACAAATCGTATGGTGCAGCTTTGGAAATTGTTACGGACCGATCGCAGGAAGGGGCGCAATTTGTGCGGGGCTTTGGCGGTATTGGAGGTATATTTGGTTATATTATATTAATTGGTCCTTTGGATTTCTGTTCTGGAAATGTGGTGCTGTTTTTAGCTGCCTGTTGCTTACAGGTCTTTTGCGTTATCGTGTGGACTTCCAACTGAATGATCTCAATGACGATATCGAGGATATCAATCTCGATGACTATTGACTATGTTCGGTGGCTAGTCGCGATTGCTTGCTAATTTTCGGGGATTTTTCACGTATGTTTGTGTATCTCCAAAAGAGTGATTATTTAGTTTACTTTTGTATACAATCGGTAGAATTAGTGAATTTATTAGATTAGTGGGAAATATTATAGCCATTCGGTAAAGCTTTGAATTTACTGAACGTCATATGTTCTTTTAGATTGGGTTAGTATTATTTTATGCTCGGTCTCCATCTTTTGTTTGCCGTATTTGGCAATAGAAATCATTTATTTTTATCGCTCTGGAAAAATCTATCAGTTTCTTCATTCATCCGAATCCGAAATTACTCGACAGCCGTCTGATCGTGACAGCCACCGATTCGTCATGCCGTCTGGCAAGGTGCACACTTGTTTCTAGTAGATCTACTGAGAGGGAATTTTTTTTTTCTAGCTTTCAAATGGCCATAGTTTATTATTTCGCATTCGTTTTGTTTATTTCTCGGATAAAGAAATCCATTACTAAATTTAAGACTTTTTATGATATTCAATGATATGATATGATGTGTTGATATGATATGATATGAATGATATGATGCGATATAATATGAATGATATTGATATATGTTAATGATATTGATATGATATAAATAAATCTCTTGCATTAAAAATCACCACTGCTTGATTTATAAATATTAGTTCAATTTTTTTAGATAAAAAAAAAAAAATAGTAATTTAATGTACCAATGTGGTATTTTTACTCATTCTTTTTCCTAAATAATTCTCTCATTGACGTCAATGCTATTTCTTTTT